CATAACACTGTAATTTGATAACAAGACATTAAGAATAATGTGTTCCATGCACACATTCAACAATCACCACGCGAAATTTATTTGAATTAACTTTATTATTTTTGTCCTTTTCTTTTTCCTCTGCCCCTGTTTCTTTTAAAGAGCTTAGAAAGTCCTCCACATAGGCAAGCACTTCCTTCTCAGAGGTTAATCCTTCAATGTCCTTTTCCCAGTTTTGATATTTCCCCTTCGCCAGCGTAGTTAAGTTAATGTTTCGCAGATTATCTTTGTCAGTTAAAATTTGGTTTATTCTCTCTTTGGCTTCTTCTTTCAATTTTTCTAATTCGTTTTTTGGAGAAGCTGTTTGACCAGCTTTTTTCTCAGTTAATTTCCTTTTGTTATTATTGGAAATCCCATAAATATTTTCCTTAATATTCAATTTCTTTTTCCTAATATTTTCGTTTTCGGTGTTAATTTGGCTATTATGGGAACTATTAAGTGGTTGATTTTCATCTAAGAGGGTAAAAAATTCTTCTTGAAAGTAGTTTAAAGCATCACTTGGGATTTCTGGCAATTTTACCCCAAAGTTCTGGGCTTCTTGACAAATCTGGTTATTATCTTCAATGACTCTTAAAAGTTCTTCTGCTAACAAAGCCATCTTATTTTCTTCCTGATTTAGTTCTTGGTTTTCTTGTCCGACTTCGGGAAAAAATGTTGGAGGCGGAGGGCTATCAGGAGAAGAAGAATTTGAGGGAGGATTTGTTGAAGAAATAACCTGAATTTCATCATAACTCTTACCAATCCATAATTCATTATTAGAGGTTATTTCCGCACGATTGCGAGCAAACCTGATATTAGTGATAGCAATAGTATTCCCAGGTTGTAAATCTCCATTTTGAAAAGCAGTTCTGACTTTTCTTCCCAAAATATCCATGAAAGTAATTTGTGTCCCATTTATGGTAATAGGAGAATCTGATTCAATATCAAAGAAGAAATTGCTTTATCGGAAAAAGAATTAAAGGAATTAGAAACGGAATTAAACAACCTCACCAGCCAACTTCCTAATCTTCCGGCTCCTGATACTCCTACTAACAAAGAAGGCAATAAATTAATTGACAGCAGCGAATACCACCATAATATCCAACACAACTTAACTCACGAAGAAATATTAAAAAAATTGGCTTTAATTGATGAAGAAAAAAGTATACTTCTTTCTGGTAGTAAGTTTGCTGTTTATCAAGGATTAGGAAGTGAATTACTACATGCTCTTATCAATTTAATGCGGTCCGAGAATAGCAAACGTGGTTATCATTTATTCGATACTCCTTATTTAGTAAATGCTCATAATCTTTACAATACCGGGCAATTTCACAAATTTCAAGATAACCTTTATAAATTAGAGGAGAGTAATTTTTATTTGCTTCCCACGGCCGAAGTAAGTTTAGTTAATCTTTACCAAAATCAAATATTAGCCGAGGAGAATTTGCCCTTGAATTTATGTGCTTATAGTCCCTGTTTTCGGGCCGAAAGAATGGCAGCCGGTCAAGAGAATAAAGGACTGATTCGCCTTCACCAATTTCACAAAGTTGAATTAGTGAAAATAGTTAAACCAGAAAACTCTTGCCAAGAATTAGAGAAATTAGTTGTCGATGCGCGTCATTTTTTGAATTTGCTAAAAATCCCGCATCGGGTAATCGAACTTTGTCACGAAGAATTAGGATTTACGGCTGCTAAAACTTACGATATTGAAGTTTGATTACCGGTCAGCAAAAAATGGCTGGAAATCTCTTCGTGTAGCAACTGTGAGGATTTTCAAAGTCGACGGGCTCAAATTAGAGTAAAAAAAGAAAATAAAAAGTATTATCCTCATACTCTTAACGGTTCGGCTCTGGCTGTTGACCGCTTAATTATCGCTTTATGTGAATATTATTATAATGAAAAAGAAAATGAATTAGTCATTCCGGAAGCTTTGCGAAAATATATAAAATAAATTGGCTATTTATATGAAACTAAAAAAGTTATGACAAAAAAACTATATCTCAAATTCCAAGTATTCCGGTGCCGTTCGGGGTACAAAGAGAGAGGAATAGTAAAAGGCTACTAATCAGGAGAATAGTTTTTTTCGCTAAAATTATCATTCTTCACTATCAAAAGCAATTTGTCAAGCCCTTTTGACTTGTTTCATTGTTTCTGGACTAACCTTTCCTAATAAAACGCTTTCTTTTAGACGTTTTTTGCGAATAGTTCGCGGATAACTAAGCAGAATTTTGCTGGGTTTATCCAGACCTGTTTCCGGAGTATTATCAATAAAAACCTCAAAAGGTTGAATTTTGTCTAGTCCTTTGGTAGTTGTTCCTACTACCACTATCCTTTCATCAAACTCATTCTGAGTATTATTACTAATTACTATGCAAGACCTAATAGATTTATTATCTTCAACCTTTTTGAACTTTATTAGCCAAATTTGGCCTCTTTTAGGCTTTATGTCTGAATATTTTTCATATCTTTGTTTATTTGAAAATACCAGGTTACATTTTTCTTTATTCATCATCGTTTATGTCTTCTTCCTCCAATTCGTCTCAAACTTCTAATTCTTTTTGTAATTCTTTATTGGACACTGTGCTTTTATAACCAGCAATTAACTTTTTTTGAAATTCTTTCTTTCTTTGCTGCTCTTCTTTTATTAATTTTTCCTCTAATACCTCCTTAATAAAAGTGCTGACTTTGCCTCGGCCGGCTTTATCTAACACCTTTTGATATAAAGAAGTTGGCAAGTAAATGCTGAATGTATGTCGTGGTTCTACCTTTGCTACTCTCATAATATATTAATTTTATGTTTAACGTTAGAAGTTTATTAATATTGACTAACACATTTTTTACATTTGGGACACTGTTCTTTTTTAGTTTTATCCTCTTTGAATAATTCCTTTTTAATTTCCCCTTGCATTCTGCTTTCTTAAAACTGTTTGGTCCTTAATTAACTTAAATGTATAGAATTTTGTTGCGAATTAGTTAAAGTTTCTAAAATATTTTAATTATTTTCTTTTCTTATTTTTGAAAAAGATAAATTCCCTAAAAATAAATATGATTTACTCTCCTGAAGAAAAAAGAAGAATCATTCTAGATAACTATACTCGTCCAAGTAAACAGGTAGAATTAGAGGAATTAAAGAAAAAGAGCGAAGAATGACAAGTGCCTTTTCTAACTTTTCGTAGTTTAGAAGAAGGTTGCGGCGATATTATTCACCTATTAATAAAAAAAAGGGATAATTGCTTAGAAAAATGCTTTTTTTCCGGTCAACAATCTTGTCTGATTACGGTAGCGGTCGCCAATATTCTCTGTTCTTGCTTGGAGGGAAAAGATTTAAAATTTGTTCAAAAAATACTAAATAATTGTCAAGCCATGATAGAAAAGAAAGAATATAATTTAGAAAATTGCCCTGATTTACAAGTGTTTAGTGATATATCACAATTTCCCCATCGAATAGAATGTATAAAACTAGTAGTGAGAGCCATAATTAAAATAATAAGTATAGATGATGAATGATAAAAATATTGATTTACCTGGTTCAGGAAAACACTGAATAAAACTCAAAGGTAATCAAGGCTGAAAAAATACTAATGATA